GAACGATAAAGATGAATTGGTGTGGACCGATATCGGTGATACCTGCCAAAGTAGATATCCAGCTGAACAGAGTCCCTTGATCCGAGGCTTCGGCGTCGAACAAGCACCGTAACAAGTCTACACTGTAAAAAGTCAACGGCCGCTCCCTCTAGCAACTTTCAGACGTACGACCAGGCATATTTTGCCACCCAAGCCTCTTTCCATTCGGGATCGTTGAGTTTCGACTTTTTGAAAACTTGGATAATGTTGACCCGGTTCACTCCGCTCTTGAGGGGATTGGGCATGGCAATGTCCACGAGCAGTTTCTTGATATAGGCGAGAAGGGCATTCGTCCATTCGGTGACAATAGCGAACTGACCTTTACGGTTTCCAAGCTAAACAGAAGCTTAGAACAAGGTTGAATGTAAAGGGATCGTCTTACGGTATCGATGGCACCTAGATTACCAATATACCAGGCGGCTCTGTCGACCGGTGTCTTCATAGAGTAGAGCAAATCCAGCGTCTCGCTGTTTTTGGGGCTGGTGAGGGTGGACTTTGGAATCGTGTGGAGAGGAACTTCGGGGTTGGCGAGGTCGGCATACCAACTCGTCTTTTTATCTCCAACAAGAGTAACACGAGAGGGATATTTAAACGTGTTGGGTCTACGCAAGACGTATTTGTTAATTGAATTGGCTTTGGGGCTGCGCTGGCAAGGACGTACTCGACGACAGCATGCAGCTCTGCTCGTTTGGTGAGCACTCGTTCCATGATATCTCGTAGGGAATCCAGCCCATTTTTTCCATTTTGTTTAAACACGCCACCAAATGCATCGGTACCCTGCCAAAGTTCGCCCTACCAAGCAGGTCAGGCGCCAAAATCTCTACAAAAATTTTGTATAGTTGGACTGACCGCAACAAAAGAAGGTTCCGAGTATCCAAAGAGAATTGTGTTGTCCGTCAAGAGCTCTTCATCTTGTCCAGGCCGCGGCGGATAAAACCCGTGATAGCCTATCAACAAGAAATGTCAGACAAAATTTCGAGACAAAAAGCTAAACTCGAATGTACCCAAATCTCCATTTCTAGTCGCTGGAACTGTCCATTCTGGAGGTTTTGACTCGTAGGTCACGCTCGGTTCTTGACCCGACTTGGAACTGGAAGGAGGCATAAGGGATTCCCAGCCTCACACCTACCTCCACTCAACACCAATCGCCACTCTTAAAATTTTTCAAAATAAAAATTTAAATCGCCATGACCTCACGCCCGTCGACGGTTCCACTGCGACTACCAAATATCCCCACGAGCAGAGAGTTGATCGCGGCCAAGCGAAGAGAATACCTCGCGTTGTGCGAGATCGCGCAGGATAGTGCGCAACTGTTGCAGTATCTGAGTACGACGGCGGAGCAGCAGTCTCTTATGACAGATGGGGGCGCCGGTGAGTTAAAATTACCATCCTCGTTCCAAAAAGGTGTGACTGAAAAATGATTACCGGGTTTTAGCCCTCTCGAAGGCGATGGGCAACTGGCTCGTTATTCTGCGCACGATATCGCTATACGGTGAGAGAGGTGCAGTTAGTGTTAACTCTGTCTGATATACCTCGCGCAGCTGAAGAGTCGGCGAGACGAAACGGCGGCGGTGAGCCATCGGAGACGACCTCCGGTGACACCGACGACAAAAAAGTGCTCCTCCGAGTCGAACTCGACGAACCCCAGGCCTAGACTCTCAAGAATATTCCAACAGAAATGCATGATACATGGCTGTATTCACCAAATGTACGTAGAAAGAAATACAAAGCTGGAACGAAAAACACAACGGCTACACGCAACAACAAAACAGACGAACAAACAGAATCACAAGAAACTCAAAGAGGATCCGAATTCTACAATCGACACAACACGGAGAAAAAATAACAGCAATAA